AAATTGTAACGTATTTAAAAGGATAGTATATGAAATTTGGGATTATATTTGCTTATTTTTACCAAACTTTGTACTAATAAAAACTCTTATATTTTAAATTAACAAATATGTCTAGCTTATCAACCGAAATCTTCGCTCCATTATACAACTTTTTAAAAACTTCTTCTTTAGATAACATAATCACTTTTAGTATAATTACGTAACAATGGAATTGTTTCAAAATTCAATCAGAAAATGAAGACTTTGATTGTCTTCTGAAGATCTTAAAGAATATGAAGAATAAAGTTAATGATAAGAAATGCAAACAACATCTTAAATCATTGCAGAATATTAACCAAGTAATCTACAATATATTTATTCTTTACATAATAGGAATAATATGATGAATATGTTGTCTAGATATTAATAAGTTTGGTGCAATTGAAAAAGTTACATATTGTCAGTGAGAATCTCTTTCATTATACTTACGATGATTTTAAAATGATAATGTCAGTTAATTCTAATTAGAATGGGATTTTGCGCAAAAAAAAATAATATCTTCCTGAATTTTATTAACCTATTTATTTATTTTTAGATGTAATTTATTAGAAATGAGCTAGTTTCATTAAAAGACATGGGGTTCTTGCGAGGAAAATTTGAAGAAGAAGTAAATTGAAAAACTGTAGCATTAAATAATATAACGCTTTTAAAAAATAAAATCAAGGTAATCAATATATTAATTTTGTCTCAGAAATTTCGGTCACGTATTTTTTGAACTTTCTCATAAAACTAAATATTTTTCAATTAAAAGAAAGATACACTAGCACATGAACATATTCTTACAATAATAAGTAATATTAATATTAATAAGATATTAAATAATGATCCGTTATGTATTGGAGTAATAAACCTTAATTCAGAAAAATATAATATACCAGAAAGTAATTACGAATCCCTTGTTATATGTATATCTTTATTTTTTTTCTTAATAGTATCAGCGACTGGTGTTATATTTCCATATAATAATTACTTCTTATATTTATAAGAAAAGGCTAATATAAGAAATTTAAGTAAAGATGCAGGAGTAAAGAAAATTTGCAATAATTTTATATCAAAGAAAAATGTAGTCTATAAATTATGAAAATTTGTATTGCCTTCAAAAGTTATAGTAACGCATGATCAATAGATTGAAAATGATCATATTAAGGAACGTGTAGCTAATGGAATTACTATATTCTTTTACAGGAGATTAGGCTGAATGTACTTCAAAGAATTTTTGGGGGATCTGAGAATACACTAGTAGAAGTTACTAGGACTGAACGTCAAAGTAAAGCCAGTAAAACTGCAAAGTTTAGCAAAAAAGTGGATTGAGAAAAGATAAACCAGATCTCATGTTTTATGCTTACCTTCGTCAAAAGTGGGAGGAGATTATTTTCTTTGAAAGTGAAAAATGGGATGCTGATAAAAACAAAATCTGCCATGATCATAATAAATTAGTGCAATTCTGTTTGGATGGATCTAAAGAGCTTATAAAGAAATGTACGAAAGGAACCTTCTATCAAAATTATATAGGATTCAGTGTTAATATCGCAGGTAAATATTTCAAGATCAATGGTTTAATAATAGAAAAAGAGATAAAATACAATCTTTCAGTCATTAAAGCAAAAATACCCCTTAGTAAAGACTCAGTTGAGGAAGTTGGAGAGTTCGTTCATGCTCTATTAGTTTTGCGAGTAAGTGTTTTCCTTATTTCTAAATATATACTTAGCCATATAATAATACTGATACAAAAATCTCTAATTTCAGAATGGGATTATCGTAAATTTACAGAGTATTGTAAATAGTTTTCAAAAAAGATCAAAGAAAATAAGTGATACAAGTTCTCCTTCACGTGAAGCTAGAAGATTAAGCAAGAAAAATAGTGCGAATTTCTAAAAATATTTCTTTAAATTAATTATGCTAACATATCATATTTGTCTTTATTTTTTATATATCAATAAAGTGATTCTGGTGGCTGATTATTTATACATATTCATCTGTATTTTTTTTCGTGTAGGATATTGATATATAAAACATAAAATATACTATATTACACAAACATTGCAATCTGAAATAGATGACCGATTCATTAAAATGATGCATTGCTAAGCTTGAGGTCGAGAATGATAAAATTAGGGCTGAGAATGTTGAGCTTAAGGTTAGAGTTATGAAATTGGAAAATAAGCAATTGCAAAATGAATTAATAAAAAATTTAATATCTGTATCATATGATATAAAAACCGTCAATGATCAAAGTCACATGATTTTTTTTTGCTGACCAATGATTATGATATCACGTGAAATTCTTGATCAGAGCTAATATTTCTAGCTGATCTGCTAGATGTGTCACAAAACTGACGTGTGAATTTATTCTTTGAATTTCCTTTCCTGAATATGCAGAATTCTTTAATTCTCAGAATTTTTTATTATTTATAAGAAATGACTAGCATACTAACACCATCTTTTCACATGTATTACTTGAAGCAACTTAACTAATTTTCTCGATCTATCAAAATAGATATATGGCAATGCCTTACATCTTGAAAATATCCATTATCGCTAGAACAGGCAAGTAGTATTCACCCTAAAGTGGAAGATTTGTTAAATAAAGCAGTTGAAAATTATATTAAGAAAAAAGAGCATCAGAAGATGAAGCCTATTACTAATGACTCTAAAACTTCGTTAAGTCAAGAAAATGAGAAGTTGTGTATATTAAAGCAGGTATTAGAAAGAAAAATTGAAGAGTTTCTCGATTTGCAATAGCAGTATAAGTCTTGTGAGATAGCTATAACTAGGGTTCCGCAATTCGATTTGACATTTGAATATTTGATTTGATTCGATCAAATTCAAATCAAGTATTCAAATATTTGATTTGATTTGAATCAATAGTAAAGCCATCTCCAAAGCTTCAGTAGTGCCTCTTACTAAGAAAACTATAGCAAAAAGCGCCTCTGCAGCCATTTTTTACTAAGAAACCTATAGTAAAAAGTGCCTCTGCGGCTTTGAAAATGCTTTTTTTACTAAGAAAACCATAGTAAAAAGCACCTCCGCGGCTTCGGAAATGTCTTTTTTACTAAAAAAAACATAGTAAAAAACGTCTTCGCAACTTCAGAGATGTTATTTTACTTAGAAAACATAGTAAAAAACGCCTCCACAGCTTCGGAGATGCTATTTTACTAAGAAAACATAATGAAAAACACCTCCGCGTCTTTGGAGACGTTTTTTTACTAATAAAATTGTTACGAAGTTGAGATGGCAGTTATTACTAAGTTTTCTTATTAAATTCGAAGCTGCAATAGTAGTTATTACTAAGTTTTCTTAGTAAACCGAAACCGCGATGGCGGTTATTACTAAGTTTTCTTAGGAAAACTGAAATTGCAGAGTTATTTTACTAAGTTTAATAGTAAGAATTTACCTGTTACTAAACTTACTTTGTAAAAACTATCTTTGAAATTTTTTAATGCAATTACTAATAATTTTCTTAATTAAAACTTTAGAATAACTTTATTTTAATATATCATTGTAAAATTAAAAAAAAATTATATTCGATTTGATTCAATTCGATCAATTTGATTTGATTCAATCAAATATTTGAGTTCGATTCGATTCGATTTGAAAAAATCAAATCAAATTCAAATTGCTTAAATATTTGATTTGATTCGATTTTGAGAAACCCTAACTATGACCAGGTTTTTGGAAGAGAGTGACGAGAAAGTCACCCAATTATCAAATTCAGTATCCTTTTTAAAAATTATAATTCCATGTACGAAAAAAGCTATTGCATCAGCTGAAAAGTCTATTGATATGCTAGAAGACAAATACCTATATCTGGAGGATATTATTTCTGCTAAAAATAGAAAAATTATTGCTCTAGTTAATCAGATCTCTTCCTACACAAAATATAGTAATATAACTATAGAACCAGAAATATATTCCAGCATTTATGAAAGGAAATTATGGACGAAGAGGCATAGTGAATCTGAATATGACCCAGAAGCCCCCAAAAAAATACATTTTGTCTCACTTCATTAATTCCTTTGAGGTAGCGCTAAGCTGAAAGAATTTCTACTCACTAGCTTAGACATTTTTTTCAAGAATTTGGTCCCAACTGACCTGTATCCTGTGTGGATGCTCACGAGATATGGTTAGATCAAAAACAATGAATTTTTTTTCACATAATGCCTTATCAATAATCTTAATCACATTACGCCAATCATTAGCATATTAACGTACAATTCTAACTAGCTCATCTGTGATGCACGACCTATTAAATAGGCAGACATGTGTGAGATTTTTCGTATTATTTTTGGGCAATCAAAGTAACTCTGGAATATATATATTGAACTGATATTGTAATGGCGTTATTCAACAAAATAAGTGACAATTTTCTCCTGCACTTTGTTCGGATCAGCACATACATCTTCGAATATGGACACTGTATCTTTATCTGGAGAAAATGAATCCACTTTAGGTATTTTATCAGGTTTTATTGCTCGAAATGTAATATCTTTATGATATAATTTTGGGATATTTGCAATTATCTGATAGACTGATTTGAGATACCTATATTTTGACTCCTTAAGATTATAGTTAATAAATAGTAAATCATCACACTTGATATAGCGTGTTCCTCTTTTCTTTTTATTAAACATTCGATAAAGCTTATTTCCAAGCATAAGATTGAGAACTTCATTAGTTTTTTTTGAATTAGTACAGTCACAAATTAGTAAAGTAAAAGGCTATTGGAAAATATTCAAATGTCTATTATATTTTTTGGCATCTTTAATCTTATTGATGTGATATACGAGCCTATCAACTGGTTTAAGTTTATTTATTTTCATATCAAATGGAGTATTATTAATAATATACTAAAATAATTCCTTTTAATTCTTCGCCTCTTTCAAGTACCCTTTTTCGATTAGAGTATGTCTGATATAAGATAGGAGATCAGCTGTATAGGAAACTTCGATAAGACATATACCTTACTCTTTGCATATATTCCGCTTCTTCTGATTTTGTGATTTTTGTTCCTCCAAATCTATATCCCCTCTCCTATAGAACATTGAATTAAGAGTATAATGTTGCTGACCATGGAATTCGAATACTAGTTGTAGTTCTTCGTTATACCTATCGAGTTGCATTTCATTTAAAAATGATGGTCTACAGGATAAGAAATTTTTGTCTAGCAGGTCCTCAACAATATATTGTACATTTCTTTCAGTAGTATGATGACAAAGAGAGCACTACTCGAATTTCTTCATGATGTATTTTAATGGATATTCCCATTGTCTTGCATTAGACAGAAAGTTTTTCCCATCCATTCTCTTCCATTATCATATTATAGAAGTTTTGGCCATGTCAATGGATTATTTCGACTCTTATATATTCTCCTAAATGCCTTAGCAACTTCATGAGCACTCTTTAACCTAAGCGGAACTGAAGCTTTAAATCTTGAGACGCAGTCTACTATATTAAGTATCGCTTTATAAGTCTTACTTCTGTAACGATCATGGATCAGAAATAATATATCATATTGATGAATACAAATTGGTTGTGTTATTCTCCCATAGCTGAATCTGGAGACATGCTTAGAAAAATACTTATAAATCTGATATGATTCTTGTTGATTCAACCACTCATCCACAGCTTGAAGTCTAAATCAATACCCCTCTTTTTTACATGCATTTCTTAGGATTTAGGGTTAGAAAAATATCCAGTAAGTTGATAATATATCTCTCGTAAAATAAGATTCCGTTTTATACTACGAGCTTCATCAGGATATATTTGGATTATAGGAATTCTTGCTTCTTTACTCATCCTTTTCTCATCTTTCAAAAAGATAGAACTATCTATAAAAAAAGAAGATAGAACAGTGCTGATGTCTGAAAATAAAGTATATGAGAGTCGAATACAATTCCTAAAATGCGATTTATATCATAGTGAGCTAAAGATATCTCGATTATATAAAATAAAAAAGATCTCAGAGCGGGAAATATCTGATCTTAAAAGCCAGATAATGATATTAGAAATAAAAATCCATAATCTGGAAAAGATTGCAGAGTGTAGATTGCTATTTATAACTTTTTGAGAATATCAGATCTCAGAAGAATTATCTAAGCTTCATGAAGAGATATTTCAGCTAAAAAATAGGATTAGTAATCTTATCATAGCCTTATTGAGTAATATACCTGGTCCTAGAGGAACCCCTTCAATAGAGTTCCTCAAAATTGAATCGAATCAAATATTTAAGCAATTTGAATTTAATTTGATTTTTTCAAATTGAATTGAATTGAATCAAATTGAATTCAAA